GTTTTGCAATGGTCACGGCCATTTGGAACTGACAGAAGGGGCACTAGTGGCACATTATGTTTGCCACAGTACATTACCACTTTCACAAAGGCACAAAGCACCCTAACGTGCAAGACTGTCTGTTTCTTCACATCAGGTTGCACGTTCCCTTGATCCCTGATGCAAAGAGCGTCTATGTTTTCTCAATCCAAGAGGTGTTGTGCAACAGTGTTTCCTTCATTGCAGGTCAAAAGGCTAACCCACGGAAATCTACAGACTAACACAGGAAAATTGTTTTAAGCTTTCAGTACAAAACTTGTTTCTACAGAGTGAACCAAAACATTAGGACCAAGAAAGTAATTTCAGCATTTACGCAGGTTGACTCCCCTCTGTTATCAGTTGTTCAAACAGCCCTGTGCTACACAGTGTACCTGCTGCCCACACAGCTACAGGAAGCTCCACCTTCGCTCCATCACCAGAACAACACAATAGGTCTCCTTCTGAGTTTTCTCACCTCAGGCCTGTAGCTCCTCATAACATAAATATTACCATTCTGTGTAAAGTAAAGATTTCAAACAGACCTACAGGCAAGGCAGACTGTGTGAATCCAGTGGGTGAAGATGATAAAATACACACATCTGACATCTAGTGGCTGAGTTATGTAAATGCCAGCACTCAGTAGATGGTGTACTTGATGCACCAGGGTGAATAAATGAACATAAACTGTACAGTTTCAAGGCCGACAGAGTCATCCCAGACTAAAGTATAAGTGTGGACCAAATTTTAAAGGGTCAGTTCACCTAAATTATGGAAACACATTTTCTCACTTACCTCTAGTGTTATTAAGTTAAGTCAAGTAAATTTTATTTATAGAGCTGCAACGTAATCAGTGGATTAATTGATTAGTTGATTGTATTAAATTAATCAGCAATTATTGGTAATAAAGTAATTAGTAATTTCAGTCATTTTTAAGCTAAAATGCCAAATTTGATGGATACAGGTTCTCAAATGTGAGACTGCTGGTTCTTCTAGACCTTACATTGAAGTAAATTATCTAAATATCTAATAAGACATTTGAAGACATCACCTTGGACATTTTCAACAAGAAATTTTTCAACAAGAAAAGTCTGATAAATTCCCTCGAGTGATGTCTCTTGAGTCGGTTGGTGCTGCAGACTATAAGTTTGAAAATGAGAAAAAGAAAGAGTTAGAAAGAAGTTATCTCAGCTCGCTCCTCATCCCAGCTTGAGGTTAGTGGCTCGAGGCTACATAAGACACTACTGGCATAACAAATCAACATCTCCAACCAAACTGTCTGCTGAGTTGCATTGTGGGTTATGTAGGTGCCAAGGAAGAAGAATGTGTAGAATAAAAAAGACAATATTTCTGTTTTTGCTGCATCAATTTAGATCTTTTTTGAACTCTCTATTGTGAGTCCAACAATGTTATCAAATTGTTTTCAATAAAAACAGTTTGACAGCAAAATATGTGGATTATCCAGAGTAACTGGGGCATTGCTCTTTTTTTCAATGCTAATGCCCCACAAACAAAACTCCATTCCCTTTATTTGTGATTGAAGTAGAAATCAATATCCAATCAATATCACAAAACCCTGAAAAATAAAACAGAAACTACTTGCATGGTAATTTTGAAATTACCCTGTTATCTGAGGTTTAACAAGAATTCATCCTAGTGAGCACACTACATCTACCAGCAATAAACTACAACATTGTTGTTATGCATTTACTGTTGAATGAACCATCCAGTGGTGGATTATTTTTATGACCATCAATTGTCCCAGTGTAATCATAGTGATTTTCCATGTGCCAGTTGTGTCGTCAGGCCAATGAGAAATTACTTAATACCTAGAAACAAAACAGAAAATGTGTTTGCATGCGTGTGACAGTGGCGTAGATCATCAATGAAAGTTTTCCCTAGCTACAACACACAACAAGGCAAAAGGTGATTTCATGCTTGAGAAAGAAAGCTGCTCAAACATAAACAAGATGTTAATCTGAATGCACTGTCTGCACACAACAACGGTGCAGAAACACTGAGCCCACACTAATCACACACAAGATCCAGTCAAAGACGGGTATGCAATTTTAAATGTATCTGCAAATAAAGTGATTCTGACTATTCACAGGGAGGATAAAATCTTAAATACTGGCTTGTGATAGAAGAATGAACTGTAGGTGGAACGATCAGACAGGCAGTACTAAAGAAAAACATTGAGTTTCATCACCGGCCTTCTTACGTCAAGATGACTAACAAGATAGACGAGAGAATACCTCCTTTATGTCCCTGAACAAACCCTTCCTGTAACTGATGCGTCCTCAAATCAGGCATGTTCACCACAAAAGATAAGTGTAAATGGAAAAAATGGTAATGAAAGTACAGAAAAGTTTCAATCACGTATAATTACAAGAGCTTAAGATAAATGTGTGTTGTTTAAAAGCAATTCATTGTGTAAGTGAAGGTAGGAACTGACATGTCAAAGTAAGCTTCAACTAAACTTATATCATTCATGAATGACAAAAAACTGTAAAAGATTGTAAATTCAAGTTGTAAGCTTTGCATTAATTGTACTGCGCTGCAGCTTTCTCTGCCTGCTTTAGCAACTAATTTCTAACCTATTAATCAAATGAGAGTCATGTGATTCGGAATAATACTTTCGTCCATGTGGTGCAAATAAGAGCCCACTCCTTCCCCTGACTCTGTTTGGGACTTTGTATGAAAGTGAGTATGCAGACATCAAAAAACATTTAAGCTAGTTCTTAATGTTTTTTCTGAAAAACCCAACTCCTTCCTCATTCGTAGAATGCGTTTCTGTTTTTTATTTGTTGTTATTTGTGCAGCAATATCTAGTGCATATCCTCAAGCCTCTGACATGTGCACTAAAAATTACTTTCATCCACTTTCATTTTTCCATATTAAAGTCTTACTTTAGTGCAATACACAAAAAAGATGTGTGCCAACTGAATGTTGCCTCCAGAAAGAACGCTGAAAAAACAATGGTTTAACTCATATTGAGCCTTTGTTCGAGAGACGGGTCTGCCTTGTTCACTGTTTGGATTAAATTTAAAGAAAATTAAACCGATTCTTACAAGACTATTTTTATTCATCCATCTATTCATTATCTATAACTGCTTATCCTGGTTGTGGGATGGCAGAAAGGTGAAATAATGTCATTCCTCAGGGAGTATTTTTGGTTATTATGAAAAAATCTTCAGACTTTCATGTTGAAATACATAACAAGCAGTGCAACTACAGACTTCAAGAAGTGTCATGTTAACAGGACGTTTAAAAATGCAGCTTGCAAGTTTAAGTATTAGCTTGAAATATGGAAATGTATTTGCCATTGCCTCAGGACCTTAATCCTCTGGGCAAGGAATTTAAAACAATAAACACATTAAACTGTATATTCATTCAGAAGAACCTAATTGAGGTTAGGGTAAAAAAGGGAAACTTCATGAAAACAACATTTTATTCAAACTATTTATTCCAAAAATTTTAGTCAAGCATCTTATCATTTGTTCTTTCACCAGAGGCCAACTGGATAGAGAAGCTGTTGGCAAAGATGGATGCAAGCGGTGGTTTGGATGTTAGGAATGTCACTTTAATCATTTTCCAGCTAGTGTTTTCATGTTTGCCTGAATTCACATTGGTTTTGTCTGGGTGCTCAAGTTTCCTCCCACAGTCCAAAGACTTGTCAAGGCTTGTCAGGTGGACAGGAGGCTCTTAAAGAGTCTGTTGTTATTGATAAACAGTCGATGGCGTTTCTCTGCATTCAGTGTGGCGTAGCTTTTGTCCCCTTTCTAGTGGTATGTATTGTGCTATTTCATACAAATGTAATTCAAAAGGTTTTACATAATAATAAGACATTAAAACAAAGAAGCTACGTGGACTTCATAATTCTCTGTCAAAGAGCTTTAAAAACAAGTACTGTAGCAGCAATTATTATTATTATTAGCAATTATAATTATAATTATAACTTATGAAGAAGACATTTAAAAGACTGTATGTCTGTAGTTTTATGCAAATAGCTTGGGAGGAAAGGTGTATATTTGCTTGTATGTATGACAAACATCCAGTGCTGGTTTTGAATGCAAATATACATGCAAAACCAACATTGAGGTGAATGCAAAATATGATGACAAGAAACTGACAACATGCAATAAAATGAGCTTAGCACGGTATTATGAGCATTAGTAGTATCTACGTTGATACTTGTTACTGGTTTTCATAAACACACACTGGTTGCAGGGACTGGGTTAGTGTACATAGTATACATTTTCACTAAAATGACATGGTAAGCCACCCATAAAAAAACACTAACATTTGCAAAGTGATATATTTGAGGTTTTGCTGTGATAACAACTTCGGGTGGGTAGGAAAAAGGGGGATTTAGTGTGCTTATGTGCTCATCTCCTGAGAGATAGTTACACCAAAGAGAATCAAAGAGCAAACCACAAGCAAATGTCAGGAAAATGCTCCGGAAAGATATAACCAACCTGCACAATACACACATATACATATACACACACACA